ACTTTTCTCTAAATTCGAAATGTTTTGAACAATCCACTTGGTATAATTTCATTCAAGAATATGAAGGTAAATGAAAAAGGGAAAGTATAAATATCTTTAACATATCTTCAAATTTTGTTATAAAATATTTAGCGGTTAAAAGTGGGAACCTTCTATTAACAATTACATAGTATAACTTATTTAAACCTTTAATATATTATTGTCTTTGAACTTTTAATTTTTTTTTGAGTTGATCTAGATAAACTATCCAAATTTCTAGGTTCATAAAAAATCTTCCAAAACTAATTTTGAAGATTCTTTATAAACAGAAGAAATTTGATAAGTTTCAGCTAATTTTAAGGTTCTTCTTGATAAGAACGTTTTAAAAAAAAAACAACACGAGCAGTTGTAAGAGTTTCAACAATATATTATTAGCAATTTTAAAATAAGTATTAGGATAAAAATGATAATAATTTTTCAACATCAGGAATTGAAATACCGGTATTAGAAATAGCAGTATACATTCCACTAAAGAATTGGGAAAATAGAGTTAAAATATTTTTATGAACTCTAAATATTACTTTTCAACTTTATAAAATATTTTGTGGTATAGGAGTCATGATAAATTAATTTTAAAATATTATTAAATAATGTTAAATATGAAATATCGTCAAAAAAAAATTTTTTTTTTTTTTGAAATATATATAGCGATAAGGGTATTTTGAACAAATATTAAAATAAAAAATTTAATTTAAAAAAAAACTAATGTGATCTGTAAAATTTCAAAGCTACACATCGTACTTATATAAGTAACTTCATGTATGAATTTTTAAGGAATATGAAATGTTTATACTTTGTACCGTATATCTATTGATGTATTATATCCAGCACATTTAAAGTAGACATGCCCGAAAATTCAAAGAATCTAATTATTGTGATTAAATCAAGTAAACCAAAGTATGTAAAGTATGTGATTGTTTAAAAAGAAAAAAATAAAGACTATATACTAAGAATTACTAGGAATTATTAGAGAAATTCAATCAATGTCATTAAAAAGAATTATTGTATTTATTATATTTCACAAAAAGAGTAACTCTAACGCAATTCTCTGAATTTCCGAGAGATTAGGAGCATCTTCTCGCGTTATAAAAAATGGAGCATTGCGGCGACGGTTTTTCACCAATTCTCGATATTTCTCAAATCTACTTTCTCGTGATCTATTATTAATTTGTTCTTTTAGATTTGTTTGCTCTATCTTTGTTATAGATTCAACTTTTGTTTCCGAATTGGTTTTCTTTATAGATTCACCTTTTTTTTCTAAATTAATTTTCTTTATAGATTCAACTTTTTTTTCTAAATTGATTTTCTTTATAGATTCTACAGTTTTCACAGGTTCGATCGTTTTAAACGGTTCATCCTTTTTTACATTATTACAATCCTTATAATTGTTAAAATTGGAATTGTTTTGTTTAATGTCCTTGCGGTTATCAGTAGAGAGTTTCGGTGGAAGTAGAGAATTGTCACAAGAAATTGAATGTTGAGGTAGCGGTGATAGTAATTTATAATAATGATATAATTGGTTATCCAAAAAATCGGAATGAAATTTATTAGGAAATGGACCATAATGTTTAAGTGGTAAAGCATTGTAATTATTATGCTTATAGGAATTCTTTTCTACATTTTTCCATTGGTTAAATCTAGGTTCTTCCCTATGGGGCCTATAATATTGGGCATAATGATGACCACTGGAAGATAAATCTCTGTAAGGGTCTTTGTAAGGATCTCTTGATTGATGTTTAGGAGAAAATTTATTCCAATAATTATAAATTGATCTTTCTTTATTCCAATCATCATGATATCTTTCATAATAAATTTGATATTTCTCATCATGATATCTATCATTCCAAGAATGTGATGGTGGTGATAAATTACCATAGGGATTCGTCCATGGAGGTTCTTTGATATTATTTTTTTCCAATTTATCATATTTAGTTTGATTACTTTCATGGGATTTCTGATAATATTGGTAATCTTTTTTTTGTTCATATAA